CTTTAAAGTACTTTCATTAAAAAACATTTTGAATTAATAACAGAAGTAGTCTGTATTTATTCACTCAAAGTTAGTAAGAGGTAAAACAGGCAACAAGAAGACCCACTTAAGATTACAATTATTTTGGAGTTTTTGAAATTCAATTTGTCAGTGTGCTACCAGGGATGTAAAAGAGGATACATTTATAAAGCAGTTGATAAGTTTGATGAAAATTGGTTGAAAGAGCAACAAAAAATAAGAAAGAAACTAGTAAAAATCGCCATTTTTTTTTGCTATTTACACAGGTTTTCACTGTATGGGTGGACTCAATTATCAAGTTGAATGACTGTTAAACAATGAACTTATTGTTGGCTACAATGGAGTGAAGTTTATATAAGATTGCTTGAAAATTGAGGGAGTTTTTAGTTTAAAATTTGTGTTGAAATCAATTTTTCATGTTGTTTTGCTAAACACAGTGGTGGAGAATTAAAATTAAGGAACTGTTGCACTTGTCATGCTATAAGTAACCTACATGCCAAGTTTGAATGAAAAAAGTTGAATTTATCAATTTTTGATTAGCTTTATCAATTATTGATTTTTAAAAAATTATCAAATTTTTACACTAAGAACCTATCTCTTACATTGTATAATGTATGTGGCAAGTTTGGTCAAAATCAGTTGGATGGATCTCAAGTGAAATGGTATCACACAGGCAGACACACAGACATACTGTTTTATATATATATATATATAGAGAGAGAGAGAGAGAGATAACTTGTTGGTGGTTTGCAAATATATTTTGCTGCTCAAGGTTGATTTTATTTTAAGGAAATATATATATAATAGTATAGTGACTGATATCTATTTTTAATAAAGAAAAACACAAAAATTTCAGTTTGACCGTTTACCTTAAGTGACTTCAAATATATATAGATATATATATATATATATATCTACATATATATATATATATTTATATATATTCAACAATAAAAAAATATTAAAAAAAATTAAAATCTTCAGACATACTGGGTTGTAGATTAATATTCTTTTGTTTCTTTTTTATTATTATTTCATTTAGATTCCTCGACTAGTTTCGGCCAAAATGGCCATAATCAGGAGAAGAAATATTTCTGCTTGCTGGTAACAGTAAACTACAGAAATGAATGTCTTGATGGAGAAAATGAACTTTTGTCTGTAGTTTTCATTTGTTTTTTTTTATTTTTTTATCTTTTTAACATGAATCTTTTAACATTCCTTGTGTTGGTCAAACAGTCTCTTTTAAGTTGTTATTTGAGATAAGAGCTGGATGGATCTATGCTTCTCTGAATTCCTCTGGTCAGTTTGACAGTTTTATTGGTCCTGGAGAGGGGATGTGTCTCTGTTAAGTGTTTGTGTGTGTGTGTTATTTGGTTCTTAGGGAGTGAGTGAGTATGATATGTGTAAGCGTGTGTATTGCTGTGGGTGTGCGTTATCATTTGGCTCATTAAGGAGTGAGTGAGCATGATGTATGTAAGTGTGTATATTCGTGTGGGTGTGTCTATAAGTGTGAGGCCTCAACACCTCCATAAGCATGTCTGTCTTGTGTCACTGAGAAATGTGGGTAGGTTTTGATTTGTAAAGTTATATATTAGTACTATCTATAGTGTTAAATTTATGGTTTAGCCCAGCTAGATATTTTCATGGAACTCTAAAATCTTTATAATGTTATCTGCTCTGAATTTTTCTATTCTCTCTGCAAACATATATATATAAATATATATATATATATATATATATATGCACGTTTGTGTGATTGCCACTTCTTACTCAAATGAAAACTACCTCCTCACATCATTTGTAACGGTTTCTACCTAATTTTAGTGTCTATAGCTCCTAATATAACATGTGGGCCTTGCATTCAATGTCCCAGATATCAGGCATATATGATAAATAAACTTTATTGATTGGATCTGCATTGCCTATATCTTTTCTGTGCACCACCATGTGCCTTTTCAATCCAGATAATGATCTGCAAACCTTGCTGCAAACAACATGGGTGTGTGTGTGTATATATATATATATATATATATATATATATATATATATATATATATATATATATATATATATATACACACACATACATACAAAAAATAACAAAAAATACACACATACATACATAAAATAACAAAAAAGTCCTCTTTGATTTATTAGGGAAAAAAAAAGGTATACAGCAAATTTGACATACCATTAATCCTCAAAGTAATCTCCATTAGCATCTAGAACCTTTTGTCAACAGGCCTCCAGCTGTTCAATGCCTTGGCATTAAAAATTAGCTGACTAGGATGCAAAGTAGTCAGTGAGTGCTTACCGCAAATCTGTCTCATTTGCAAAGTTTTTCTCACAAAAGGAATGGAAGAAATGGTAACATGTTGGTGCAAGATCTGGGGAGTAAGGTGAATGGCACAGTATCATCATATGGTCTCCAAGGCCACCTATGCCTAGTGAGATGTGGCATTGTCATGGAGAAAGGGTACACCCTTGCAGATAACTAATGCTGGCCCCTTTTGCTTCAGTGACCGTTGCACACATTTCAACTGCTGTGAGTACATGTTCACAGTAATGGCTTGGCCTGTTGCTAGCAGCTCACAGTGCATCACTTGTAGACCAGTCTACCAGATACAGAACATGCTCTTGCATGGGTGTAGTGGTGGTCTTTTGGTGTGAGGCACAGGGCTCCATGGTGACAATCTGTGGTACACTTGGGAGTGTCATACGGGACCCACTTTTCAGGTGCCACTATAGTATGATATCTACTGTCCATTTTCTACTATGGTATGATATTTACCAACTGTTGGAAGGATGAAGTATGTTAGGATTAGGGATTAGGGTGAACAGTGAACTGGTTATGTATTGAAAAAAACATTAACAACTTTTTATACATCATTTTTTTTAAAAAAATCATCAAATAGTGATTTTAAAGATTGTAAACTGATTTGATATAACTTCAAAAAACAGTAAACACGTCATCTGTTTTCCTGAGCATTTTCCAGCAATAATGTGTGGATCGTAATTTACAGTTGGTTGCAAATGCATTTTATATATATATATATATATATATATATATATATATATATATATATATATATAAAAGATAATAAGACCGTTGGTATATAATTCAAGTGGATCTCAGTAGCATAAAATATTAAAACTGATCCATAAAAAGAGCTCAATGTATTTATTATTACAGAGCAAATACATACTAGTCCACAATGAAATCCAAAATTACCTCATATGTGGAATATAATCACTATTCCCTATATGAGGTAATTTTGAATTTCATTGTGCGTGTGTGTGTGTGTGTGTGTGTGTGTGTGTGTGTATATATATATATATATATATATATATATTATACACTTATGACACTTATGTCATATATAACTGTCACTTCTATCTTGGGATTTACTCAAAGAGTGTTTGGTATTCAGTCAATTAAGTGCCATAGTGATACATAGTGTCTCTTTTGATTCATGACTGATTAGGTAGATTTTCCCACAGTAGGCTACTGTTTCTTTCTGCAGTAGTCTGGCTACCAACCAAACCTATTAGATTCAATATGTCATGCTATTCAACCTATAGATAAATGGAACAGAGATGGATTCATAGCTTTCCCAAGGATATTTGCATGTAAGTGAATTTAATGAATCCAACTCAAATTCAAACTCTGGGATTAGTTGACTCAAATAACAGAAACAGATTACCAGAGTGTAGACAAAAAAAGTTTTTAGTCTTTTTTGTTTTTATTCTGACAAAATTCCAACTTTCAGAGAACAGTAATTCAATTCTCAGTTTAAATTGACCTATTGAGTTTGTGCATCTTGCATTCAATTATTCTAACAGATATAAAAAATCCATTCCCTTTATTTCTGGCTTGCCACATTTTGAGAAACAGTGAAGCCTTTAATTATTGCAACCAAAACAATCTCATCCTTACTTAAGAGTGTCTTTGCCAAAGATGATTCCAAAAATAATATGTTAACCCAAGACTGTCTCATTGCAAAATAGTGATGTTCCATCACCGCTGAGTCAACCCTGAATTTTCACAAACTATGTTCTTTAAGGAAGGCCCATACTTTGAGTGCTTATTAAGATTTAAACTCAAGCCAGACTTCAAGTTGAACTCATAAATTTGATTCATCATTAAAAATGATGGAAAAATGGTCACTTCCTTGTACCACTACATTAATTACTAGACTCCTCCTCCTGCTATCCTCAACCTTTACAAGAACCAGATCAGGTCAGAAATGAAGTACTATTGCCATGTATGGGGAGGAACTGCCTAGTATTCAATTTCCAGTTTCAATAGACTTCAAAAGAATCTCCACATTCTTGCTCACCCTACAACTCACTTCCAACAGATGAAACATCAAAGATTCTTGGTTCTCTACCATTATTTCCATGGAAGTGTTCAAATGAGCTATATCCCTTAGTTCCACCATTTCTAACATTCGTGTTTAAAACCTACCATGCCACACACATTTTAACGAATCACCATCATTCCTTTAATATTCCATGAACCACTGCTTTGTGGAACTGACTCACAGGAGGATGCTTTCAATTATCACTACTATCATAACTTTTTCAAGACTTGTGTTAACCATTATCTTACCACATATCTGTAGAAACTCTTCTTTTATGCTGTAACCCTCTAGCTTGAGTAACTCTTAGGCCTTGTACAGTGTGAAGATCATTGTAAAAAAAAAAAGAGAGATTTTGATATCAGATTTCTCTTCCTGTTGACTAATTTATTTTGGCTAAAGCAGTTTTTTGCTTTGTTAAGATCTTTTTTTTTTTGATGATTCAGCTGCTGCTACCCAAAACAACATCCTTGTTGAAAGTCCTTTCATGATGTATTTAAACCCAACCATCTGTTTGAGACACAGGTAGACTTTTGGAATATTTTGTGTAGGAGTTCAAAAGTACACCTTATATGCTAAGTAATATAATAAGTAAAATAAGGTAAAAACAAACAAACTTACTGAATGCATATTTTCCTCTTGCTGCTGTAGATTGACAACTCATCTTCCATTAAAGCAGAGGACTCTTCAGAGATGCTTTCTGAGAATTCCTCACTTTTGGGCCGTGAAGGAATTTTTTCTTCTAACAATTCAGTCTTGTATTTTACTTTTTTTGGAGTAAATATGCCAGATCTGTCCAAAGTAAAGTATTTCAAATTAGAATATGAATACAAAGAGGTTACTTTGGAAAATAAATATTTATTGTGTAAATTAAATACTTTTTTTCAACAATATATGATTAATTAATTATATATATATGTTGATGGAAAATAAAACTGCAAAATCTTGAACAATTCTTTATTTGTTCTTTTTTTGTTTAGTGTCATGATGTTGCTTAACTTTAGTGATTATATGGGAACCAACCCTGAACACCATTTTCTTGCAGAAAACTAAATATATGTGTAATATGCATTACAATAAATGATTATATTCTATCTGAAAGAATCAGCACACATGCCAGGCTATGAGGTCCTCCTTAGTAGGCCTAGCGTAGAAATAAATATGACATGGGAGACATTAATAAAGACAGAAAAATGATGGCAAGTCTTCAACAGCCTCAGCTGTAGCAAAAAAAAAAAAGACTCAGTGAGTGCAGTCTAGCATGACAAGCTGTTGCAGCAGCAGCAATCAGCAACAGGCAGATTAGGTTTGAGGCTCCAAGAGACTTGTTCTATGCAACAACAGCCTAGTGGATTTAAGCATTGGTTTGTAAAAATGGGTGAACAATAACTGAGCAGTACTACAAATGAGAACTAGATGAGATATCTCTAGTTATGAACAGTGGAATGAGAATAGTCTACCCTCATAAATTAAATAAAGGGTTCAGTTCAGAATTCCCTATAGGTTGTCCAGATTGCTATACACCTGAACACTGGAAGGTAAAACAGCTGAAATAGGATAAGAACAACAAAAATGAGGTTTGGTTTACGTTATATCAACCTCAATGTGTTATTTAATGACAACAAAATTCTTATTGCTTGCAATATTTTTTTTTCAAAAATGTATTGCTGGTAATAATTTTTTTTCACAAAGTATTTCTTGTACTAAAACTTATTTTTTTACTTTCATAGTGTTTTGACCCCAGTTTGGGGGTTAACTATTTGTCCATAGCTGGGGCCGCCTAACAGGTGTTACTACCCCGAGTCAGGGTGGATCTGGGGACACTAGCAATTAACAGGTGGTTTCACACTCATCGAAGCCTCCTGATCAGAGAGAGGTCTTGCTGTTGGACCTAGTTTATCATCTTACCCAAGATCTGGATGTAGTTTATCATCATACCCAGGATGGACAAAAATGAGGACAATAGTCTACATGTAAATAGTGTAAATAAATGATTACATATTCAGAATAACACATGCACAGATTCCAAAATAATATTCAGACCCTTTATTATGTTTTAGATTGTGTCGTTCCTCTCTCTCAACTCTTCAGACCCTAACCTGACATCATAGACTGCATCAAGAACAGAAAATTTTCTTTCTCTTTTTTTTTTTTTTTTTTTTTTGCTGTTGTAGCATCATTTCTAGTAAGAACTGAAAAGAAGGCTACTGAATGAAAGAAAAAGTGCTTTTCAAAAATAGGCAGGAGAAGAAATCACTCTTCTGTTACCCTGATTAAATGTTTATCAGCTCTTTCATGTTTGTATGTTATTAAAAAAACATCATGACTGAATATTCTTCTTCTTTTATGTGTGTTATAGTGGAACACACCTATTCTATAGTTAATAGACTCTCCCACCTATAATAAGTAGGAGTAGTAAGAGTAACAAGTCAGTCACTCAGGGAGTTGGTCAGTCAGTCGATGTCGGATGACCGTTAGTCGGATATTAAAGTATCAGCTACCATAACTAGATTGCTGCATCATTACCTATTATATGAAGTTCCTAACGTTTTGTACGTTGAACTTATTTTAGGACCAACTTAGTACAAATAGAAGCTTCCACTGTGAAACCACTACATAACAATGTGTCATGTCCCTTCAGGATGTAGGCGATCATGGATCTCCACACCTTCTTGTCCCTTATAGTTCTTAAGTTTTGTCTTTTTGTTATTACTCCCTAACCCTGTTCTGCCATCCATTTGCTCAAGCCCATTAAATATGTCATGTGTTGCTTTCCCCTGTCTCTCCTTCTCTCTATCCATCCTGTGAGTCTCCAGTTTTCCTAGCCCTCCTTCCTCATATTGTGTCCCAGAAATTTCAACTGCCTCTTCTTGATGTCAAGCGATGCTCATGTTTGACTCATGGTATTTTTAGCTCTCTTCTGTAGAACCTCATTTCTGTTATTTCAAGTTTATTCTTCATGATTGAGTAGCATTTGCTACCATACAGGAGGACAGATATCAAGTAACAGTACAGTACTCTTTTATCTGTTTCTAACATAGTTTTTCTGTCTCTGAATGCTCTGCTTAGCTTTTGGAATGCTTCTTTGGCTATCCTAATATTTCATCGGATCTAAGTGTCGCACTTTCCATCCCCTGTTAGAACACTTCCCAGATATTTAAATTTCTGTATCTGCTTGATTGTATTATCCTTGGCCTGTAATTTGCATTTTAGTCTCATCCTTTTGCTGATGACCATACATTGTCTTCTTGTAGTTTATGCTTAGTCCTTTCTTCTTGCTTTCCTTCACTACCTTCTGTAGGAGGTTTTGTAGTTTCCTTTCTTTATCTGCTATCAACACTGTCATTTGCATATCTAATTGTTAAGATTGTGGCCACCAATGATAAATTCTGCTAGTTCTCTCAGAATTGACTTGCTGTATAGGTTGAATAAATCCAGTGAGAAGACATATCCTTGTCTTATACGCATTTCTATTTTTGTATATTTGCTGAACTCATTTTCTGTTCATATGCAAGTTGTTTGCTGCTAATACAGATTCTTGATTATTCTAATGTCTTTTACGAATATGTCAAGGTTGCTGAGCAGCTGTAACAGATCTTTGTGGCATACTTTGTCAAATGCTTTTGCATAGTCTATAAAACACAAGTACATGTCCTTCTGCATTTCTATTGCTCTTTCTGATAACATTCTGAGCATAAATATCATGTTCTATGTTCTGATGCCTTTGACAAACCTGCACTGTTCTTGTCCTCCTCTCTCTGGCCTGATTCTGCCATGTGCTTTAACCATCAAAATTTGAATTATGAGTTTTGTGATGTGGCTCATTAAGCTGATTGTTCAGTGAAGTTCACATTTGTTTGTACCTTTTTTAGGCAATGCTATGAAAATAGATTTGCTTAGGTCTTCTGATATATCACTACTGTTGTAGATTTCTTTTATTATTTCTGTATTCTTGTCTATGTTGAAATTGTCTAAGGCTGCCAGCATTTCTATTACAATTCCGTCTGGCCTTGCCACTTTATTTCTGTTCAATTTGGCCAATGCAGCTTCCAGTTCAGTTTTTAATATTTCTGCTATGTCATTATATATGTGTATATGTTTTCTTTTGTCAAAGAGTAATCTCTGATATATTTGTTCCCAACATAAAACTGATAGTTGCACTTCTATTTTTCTGTCTTTAATTCATATATATATATATATATATATATATATATATATATATATATATATATATATATATATATCTCATTTGGGTAGGAATCCCTCTTTCATGCAATTTTCAGTAAAACAAACTGTGGTTAAGTTTTTTATATAATTTTTCATATATTCCTATAATTTTTTTTTCTTTTCAGGAGATAAATTATAAAAAATTGTCTGAATACATGCATGAGAAAATCCATATATTCAGTTAAAAATAAAAAAAAATTTAATCCTTGATAATTGCTACAAGTAGATCCAAAAGTGCTTGGATATATAAAACATTCAGACAATTTTTATTTTTATGTTCTGAAAAGAAAAAAATATAATATATTAATATATATATATATATATATATATATATATATATATATATATATATAATGTATAATAATATATATATAATGTTTGTGTGTGTGTAGAAAATTAATTCAGATTAAAAAATCAGTTACTTAAAAAATTACTTTGTGTTAGAAAAATAAAGTTACCATATATAGACCTTGGAAGGTCTTAAGTAGAGATGTGTATTCTCTAAGTAGGGTAACTGGTCTTTCTTTTTCTATAATTGTTTTTTGTAGTTTCATAGTAAAAAGCACTTCTGTCATGAAAGTGATCTCTCAAGTGAAAAAGAGAATGCATTTCCAATTTCTGTCAACAGGTACATTTTGTTTAATAAAACTTTTGAATAATTTCATTTTTTAGAAATAAAAAATAAACAGCATTAACGACTCAAACCCATGTATATGTACTAAGAAAAAAAAAGATGTTCACAAAATATGTGATTCTGACATGAGATCTTGAGGTGATAATAAATTTAAACCATCACATTGTTTTGATAGATATTCCTTTCTTTTGCCAAGTTTTTCCCAGGTCATGGTCACTATAAGAATTTTCAAAAAATACCTGATAATATTCAATGTTTTTTTTATCTTAATCATTGGAACACCAAATAACCTTTTTAAATGAATAATAGACAGATAATACTGTGAAAGTAAAACAAAATATTCATACTGTTCTCTCTTCTATTATAAAATCAGCTTCTATTTCATAAACAGAAATGGTATTATGTGTTTATGTATCATGAGATGTAAGTACTAAGTTCAAATGAACAATGATGTCAGTTGTTTGATAATAGATTAAAATAAAGGAAAAATAATTGCCTGATAAAGAGAAATAAATGCGATCATTTCTGGATGATACATTAAAAAAAAAGTAATAGAAATTACAAATTTACACCTATTTGCCATCATTAGCCATCTTGAAACTGTAACATAGGAATAGCAATTTAAGTGGTCAAGACAAATTGAATCAAAATGATAAACTAAATTTAACTGAGTGCATCCAACTATGAAATGATTTATTTTCATTAAAGTAACCACAATAGACAAAGAAGACGGAGAGAGACTTTCTTCAAAAAGTTTTAAATACAAAAACTTATCAAGTTGAATGTTGGTTAAATAGATTTCATTAATCATGGAAAATATGACTAACTTAAACACAATACTTACACAGAACGTGGTCTTGAAGTTAACTGCTGAAGATCTAACGAGAAGCACAGACTTTTACTTCTGGCTCTCTGTATTTGTCTGAGAAAAAAAAAAGAAATTCAGAACCTGCTTTTAAAATTCAAATCAAAACTTTATTCTCATTCATCATAAAAGAATCAAGATTTACAGCCAGAAAAAAATTATATACACACAGAAATAACAAATTGCATTTTGTTACAAGGAAATAATTGATAATTTTTATGCAAATAGCAAAATTTACAAATGTAATGAAACTTGATATACTGACCTTTGAACTTTCGGTGAAGGTAGGAGTTTACCTTTTTTTAAGCAAATTACTGACTGGGATCTTTTCAGTGTGGATTTCTGTTCTTTGAAATGTTGCCTTAGTTTTGAAATTGGTATGTCTTCACTTGGTCTTCAGAATCAAATAGAAAAACAATATAAACTTACATTATGATATTTGTCTATTTTGGAAAATAAGCACAATACTGATAAATCTATATATATATATATTAAATATGTCATATATCAAATTAATTCTGATATTAAATTCATTAAGAAAAGTGCCACAGTTTATGTAAGAAAAAAACAACCAACAGTAAAAAAGTTTATAAGTTGTGCAATGATGTTTTAAAATGTCTGCAATAGTAATGTTTTTAAAATACTTAAATTGTAATTATGAAAAAATTACAATCATATAAACTAAGTTACCTTTTTTAGATAAAGCATTAAAAAAAAAACATAAGTTTAACAGTTCATTTTTAAATTCATTATAAACAGAGAAAATTCATTTGTTTCATGAACGTTTAGAAAAAAATTCACAGTTAACAATTTTTTGTCTTTGCAATTCATCCCTGAAGATGATCTTGAATGAGAATGAAAGTACTTGGGAAAATAAAAGTAGTGAAAAAATTGGCACCTTCCCTAATTGTTGTGGCCTGTTTAGGGGCCAGAAAGAAAGACACAGAAGATGAAGGTAAGTTGAAAAAGTATATTGAAGTTATATACAAAACAATAGTGTTAGTCATAAGTAGATTAGCACTGCGTCTACTACTCCTCTTCACTTCACACTCTGTGCTCCAGTCTGACTCTTGCAGTTTGTATTTATGAGAGAAGGAAAAGTTCATTATACTGTAAGAGGGTTTACCACAACATTAATGAATTTAATATCAACATTAAGAAATTTATCTGAAAATTTTAGAGGATTAAAATAAAAATAGATATAATATGTCCATATTATTCAGCCTAACATGCTTGAATGAAGACTTGCTGCCTATATATATATATATATATATATATATATATATATATATATATATATATATATATTAAAAGCAAGATCCAGGCAGGCAGTGACTGGCCACGACTTCTCGTTTCATGCATTTGCACACAATCATCAGGTGGCTAGTGGCTGTAGTTTGTGGAATGAGTACCATATAGGCCACCAGGCAAGTCCAATAAGGTGGACCAACCAAACCCGCCTGGTGAGAGGGGACAGTAAATCATCTGGCCAAGATCAAAAACAGCTGAAAAATAAAAAAATAATTAAGTTCTACTAAGAAACTTCAGTATTAAAGCAAAATCCAGGTAGGGCATTGAGGACCTTTTTGCTAATAAGCAGCTTTTGGACAGACCAGTCACCTTTATGATCTTAGTTACATTAAATAACCTTTCTTAGAAAAACATAGCCACATACATTATATTAAACAGATATTAGTTGAAAACACAACAATACTCACACATACACACAGTAAAAAGAACCTTAAGTTATTGGAAGCCATCTCCATTAAAACAAAGCAACCCACACTCAACAAAATTACATTTCAAACCAGTCATAACATATTACTATGCATTTAAACATCTAGTTCTGTTGATAACATTTCTTTCTCTCACATGGTCACATGTACAACGTCAGAGAACATTATTATGAATTTACGACCTGCATCTGATATTCCACAACCATTATCATCGCATAGCAAACTTCTATGTAAATGAAATAGGATGCCATCTTAAACAGTGAATATCTCTGTTGTAATGTCCATATAACCACTTTGATGATGGCTCATGTGAGCTAAAAGCTTAGATCAATGACAAATGTAAACAAAAAATAACCAAATGTTGGACAGTTTTCGTCATTATTTTCTCTTGGAACTGAAGCCATTATACAACGCTTGGAATGGCTCATGATAAGACATAATAAACATTCATTGTTTGTTATATTTAACAGTATATATCTGAATAGTGATCTGTTGCCCCTAGACACTAAATATATGTATAGATATATATTTAGGCAGCATATCTTCATTTATTCAAGCATGTTTCATGGAATAATATAAACATAAGTCTATTTATTTTTCTAATAATCCTTTCTAGTTCTCTAATTAGCTTCTTGATTTTAAACTGAAATTCATCCAGGCAGGCAGCCTAGTTTTTGTTATCCCAAGTGCTTTCTATGTCCTTTGAGATCTTCTTCAGGGATGAATCACGAAAACAAACATAATGTAACGGTGATTTTTGTAAGTATGCATAAATGCATTATGTTATAATTATACTATAGCTACAACACTTAATTTTAATATAATTATAACAGAGTGCATTCACACATGTTTACAAAAAAATCACCATCACAACAATAACAGTTACAATAAATTTGTCTTTGCAATTCGCCCCTGAGGATGATCTTGGAGGAGATTGAAAATACTTGGGATAACAAAAACTATGATGCATTCCTTGATGAATTTTAACTTAATAGCAGGAAGCTAATTAGAGAACCAGAAAGGATTATTATTATTATTATATATATATATATATATATATATATATATATAAATTTACACACACAAACTGAACTTATCACCACCAACAATAGAGCAGAAAAAACCAATTTTTTATGAATCCACTTGGAGACTGTTTCTCCAGTAATTCAAATAAAATATGAATTGGTTATACAACCACTACATTGTAATGTTGATTAACATATCATTTATCAAATAATAGTTCAATTAAATCCCATATCACCAACCAAACACAGCAATAAATCTGACATATTCTCACAAACAACACAATAACGCAGTCTGAAATGAACTATAAAACTCAACTACCAATATAAAGGCATTAACATAAAAACAACTGAATATTAATAAAATGCTATCAAATTTAAGAAAAAACATACTCAATAGATTTCATTAAAAAAAATCCCATAATGCAAAAGCACCAAGAGTCAGTCATGTGAAGACAAGAAATTTTCAAATCGTGGCATCAAATGCAGAGATGGGATATTTGAGAAAATGATAAAACTAACATAGCACAAAAACAAAATATCTCTGATAATGTATTTTGAAATCCAAAAGTAATCAGTGGACAATTTATATGTATCAGAAACCAGGAACATGGCCTGACATATAGAAAAAAAATCCTGAACAAAGAATTTTTGCTGATCTTTAACTCTATATATATATATATATATATATATATATATATATATATATATATATATACACACACACACACACACACACACACACACACAAGTGTTCCTCAAAAACTGACATCATTTAAAATATGAATATCTGAATAACTACATGTCTCAGGCAAGCAATCCTGCCAAACAAATTGCAGCATGCCTTGAGTAACCTTCTCCAGCACCTCAGCAATTCTCTGCTTAAGTTACTCTAGCCATGTAGGAAGATGTGGAATCTAGGTGTGTCTTTTCCCATAGTGCATTGAAAAAAATCACAAGGCGTCAAGTCATGTGAACTTGGTGGCCATTTCAACAGCACATTGTCATTATCATTGGACACACCCATTCACCTTCTTGGGAGATTCTTATTGAGATAAGTCTGCGCAGTCAACTTAGTTTTTACACATTTTGTTAAAATTTGAGATATTTTGACCAAGAATTGGCTATGTTATTAGAGTACAAAATGTTGTCAATTTTTGTGGGATACCCTAGATATATATCAGGTCATCCCATAAGTTCTGTCCAAATTTCAACTTTTTGTTAAAATGAACAAAATTTAAAGAGTATTTTATAATGTCTAATGGAGCTGAACATTATTTTTATGTTTAGATGCATTTAAACTGATCAAATTTTATTTCAGAGAGCAATAAAATTAAATTTTGTTTGATTAAGACCCTGCTAACATGGAAGTACCCAAGAATCATTTGAGGCACATAATGCTTTATGAGTTCAAGAAAAAAACTCAGCAGCTGAAGTAGCTAGAAACATTCACTCAGTTTATGGAGAGGAATGTGTGAATGAAAGAACTTGCAGAAGATGGTTTGCAAAAATCAGAGGTGGAGATTTCACCCTTGAAGATGAAGATCGAACTGGACGTCCAGTTGAGTTTGATGAAAAGCTTCTTGAAGCAGCCCTTGAAGAAAATTCTGCTTTATCAGTTGAGGAATTGGCAGTGGTTCTCAGTTCAAACCATACAACTGTTCATCGTCATCTTCAACAACTTGGAATAGTTCCTAAACTTGGAAAATGGGTGCCTCGTGAATTGTCTGAAAACAACTTCAAATCCCAAGTTGACATCTGCTCTTCTCACCATTCTCGCCAACTTGTTTCACCTTTTTTGGATAGACTTGTGACTGGCAACAAAAAATGGATCTTTTATCAAAAAATTTAAGCGTCGTAGACATTGGCTTGGTAAAGGGGAAGGACCCCAGCCACAGTCGAGAAGGGAACTTCAAGGGCAAAAGGTTCTTCTTTCAATCTGGTTCAATAATAAACCAAACTAATTTAAATAAGCCAACAAGGGTTGATATGCTAAAAAAATCCAATAATCCAACCCAACACCACTCAGAAATTCTAATTAAAAACAAAAAAATACCAGACATGTTGAAAATGTAATCATTCGATTGTTGAACTGAAAATCCTTATATGAAGTTCAACCAACAGTAATTTTATTCAGGCTGTGTTCATTATTTTTCTCTACAATGAGAACAGAAAAATAGATTCAATCGTACGTGTCAGTTTCCTTTCCTTAATTACTTTTCAAAGGATTTTTATCTCTGTAGAAATCATCTGAATTTACTTACCTCTCCTCTTTCAATCCTTCAGTTTCCAAAAATGAATCATATTCTGTAAAAGTTAGCACAAAACATGCAATATTAACAAAACATACAATATTATAAACATTTCAAGAATCAACATGACAAAAACATTACTTAGAGTTAGACAAAAAATCTACATTATTATTTATAAATCTATGTTATTGATAGACATGAATAATATTTGAGGATGCTTGTTTGCAGAACAACATTCTTTCAAGTCATAATAGCTCTAAATTAGAAGTGACCAACTTTAGTAGATATCCACCAAATGTATGAATATATATATCTCTACAAAGTACACATGCAGATATCTTTTCATTGATTCAGATGTTACTTTTAGGTGATACCAATTTTCAAGGAGGAACCCATTTATTTTAAACAGTGTTTATTTCATCTACCAGCCTGGGTACTCATGTAAACTTGACAAACAAAATGTTTCCTCATGCAGGAATCAAATCTGTGTCCGTCTTGGCTTGAGGAACCCACACACTAATCTGTGATGCTTTGAACACTCAGTTATTAAAGAGCTTAACAATCAAGCAAGGTTCAAATTGTCTTTAAAACACATTCACTTGTTTAGATTTTCTCGAAAGATATATCTGTTCAGTTTTGTATCTGAAACATAAAGCAATTTCTAAAAAATGGAATTTTAATTTTTTTTTTTTTTTTTTTTTTACTCCATCCTATTTTTATTACTCCAAACATTATTTTTTGTGGATACACATATTTTAGTAGATGCTTCATTTATCTTAAACATTATTTCCTCTACTAGTCTTCATAGTCAAGAAAACATGTACCCTCCAGCAGGATTCAAACCTGCACTTCTATTTGTCTTAGATCCAAATTCAAAGCCTTCCCACTCCTTTTAGGGGAGCCTCTCCCTACTTGACCATGTCTTCAGGGGGTGTAGATCCAAACTCCTCTAGGATAAGAAGGTACTCTGTTGCATCAGCATCATTTGCAAATGATTTCTTATTACTATCCATCCTGGGTCTGATGATAAACTACATCTGGCAGCAAGGCCTCTAACTGGGAGGTATTGAGGAGCATGGAACTACTACTTAATTACAGTTGTTCTCAGGGTGGTAGCACCCATCAGGATCCCAGCTATGGACAAATAGTGAACCCACAAACTGGGGTCAAAACATGAGAATATAAAAATACACTAGAAAAAAATTACCAGCAATGCAGATTGATAGTAAAAGAAAAAAAAATTACCAATGGCAATACATATTTAGAAAAAAAATTTACCAAAGCTTATAAGTAACAGAAATTTCAGTATTAAATGACTTACAAGGAGTTGATATGCCATTAAACAAACAAACCAATTTTACTATCTCTTCTATGGTTGAATTGTTCTTGTGATTTTCTAGGAATATGTATTTTTTCTGAATTTGTTCAGTTAACAATATATCTCAACTATTTCCAAATGTAGGTAACGGCTTAATTATGGGTATCCAGTAGTGATCAGTTTCCTCTGTATTTAGTTTTATATTTCTATTAAAGAAGGAGACTTTGTTCTTCTTAAACTTATTTCCTCTTTCTCCATTACAGCTTTATTCAAGTTGTGTGATATCAGACTCAATAACATCAGTTTTGATATTGATTCTTATTCCTCCAATAATACAAGGAAGAACAATTGGTTTCAATGAGAGAGCAATCTTATGCCACTGACCAAATTGAAACTATTTTTAAACTGGATTTCTCTTAAAGGTTTTCTCTCAATGAGGTGGACAAAGTTTCCATGAAACATACAGCATCAGTGACTGTTCCAGTTTTTCCTGAGTCTAAAACAAATCATTTCAACCAGATAAGACTTTTGAGTATCCATTTTTTCTTTGGACAATTAAATATTTCTTCTCAAATAGAAAACTTAAGCACAATATTTCCTTCTAGAATGTGGTTTATCAACAATGGGGGTTATTTAAGACCAGAAAATATTTTACATTGTAAGAATATGTTTTTTCAGATAATAATGATTTAGTGATAAACATCTTACTAATTAACCCATAACTGGGGGAGAAGAGGTGGATTTATAACTTTCCCCAAAGTATTTGTCTATAAGTGATTATAACAAATACAAAAGGAATTGGAACTTGGCTCTCCTGTTAACAATTCCAAGCCATTATTCATCTACACTACTGTTCTAACCTAAGGAAGGTTACTGAATAAAATAATCAAATGAAAGTTGGTAATGAACAATAATACTTAGAACAAGAACAACACATATAAGATTCACTAGTGGCATGTAAAATTAGTAATCAACTGCTAAAAGTGAGTCAAGTGAATTCCACAATGAATCTCCAACTGCTGACCAACATACAGTATTTACTACCCATTAGACACCCTTTATTGTTCATAGGTATGCTACAACAACCACCCACACATCCAAGCTTATAGTACCTGGTATTCCCACATGGTCACCCATGTAGGTACTGACCTGGCTTGATATTGTTTAACTGTAAGCTTTGGTTTAACTTTGTCTCTGAGAATCAATGAAAATAAAAATATTCCATTTTTCGTCCTTTTTTTTAATGCATATATTTTTTTCTTTATATATATTTTTTATATATTTTTTCCCTCCTCCTCTTCTTGCAAAAGAGCAGGTGTTCTGAAATAAGATAGCATCACTTGGCATTGTTAGTGATCGTTTTTTCTTCATCTGAAAACCACAAAGTTTAATGTACAATTCTGTCAAACATTCATCTTCAAAAAGTCTTCTATAGATTTTCCAAAAGAATAAGAAGCTCTGATGTTTGTGACCAACTCATGTTCAAGAGACAGTGGGGAGGCAAAAAATTCTTACCAAACATCACTCTTAAAGATTTTGTTTGCAGTAGGAAATACAATGTTGGCAGAGGAAACAGACATATTCAAAATATGGAGTGAAAACCCTTTATTAAATTAAGAGGGAAAATACTTAGCGCATACTGTCCTGGGTATGACAATAAACTACATCCATGTCCTGGATAAGACGATAAATGACATCCAACAGCAAGGCCTCTGATCAGGCGGTTTTGAGGAGCATGCAACCATGTCTTAATTGCTGGTGTTCCCAGGTCCACCAGCACCTGTTAAAATTCCCAGCTATGGGCAAATAGTTAACCCCCCCCAAACTGGTGTCAAAACACTATGAAAATGTAAAAATAGGTTTTAATACCACCAATACATTTTTGGAAAAAATATTACCAGCAATATATTTTTGAAAAAAAAAAAAAATACTAGCAATACATTTTTGGAGAAATATCACCAGAAATACTTTTTGAAAAAATATTATCAGCAATAAAAATCTTGTCAGCATTAAATAACCCACTGAGGTTGATATATCATAAAACAAAACAAATGAAACCAAAAGTTAGTTAATGTTCAAACAGTATTGTTTGGAAAATAAACTTGCCACTTGTACATCACTGCTTGAATCACCTGAACTAAAATGATTGCCATCCTTCCATTGAGTATGCTTTTGCAAATGATGAAATATTAAAATTGACCAAAGGTAAGTTTAGGTCTCTTTCGTACTATGTTAAAAGATCTTTTTGAACAATATTCATTTCGCAAACTACCTCAACAAGTTGGACATGTGTAGGTTAATTACCACTTATAATATTCATCAGAGTGGACTACACTTCCTAATTCTTAAAAGATAAGATGGTGAAATTAGGAATAACAGAATTGTACTTACTCTCTTAAATTATCACTTGACAATTGGAGAATCGTATGTCTTATCACATGAGCTTGATTTTTGTGTTCCACCAGTTTCGATCAAACAGGAGGTTATATTTTCAGAGTTAGATTTTTTTTTCTCAGCACAAGAGGTTGGTTCCTGTTTCACCTGAATAGGGTAGTGCACTTAGAGAAAGGTTAAATGATCCTGCTCATGCCTTTATTGGTTCTTCTGTTGGCCAATCTGACTTTCCATGACAGATTAGTTTTGCCTACTAAAATGTTTACACTTAAATCAGATTGCTAAACCAAATACAAGGTCATTGGTGCTAATTGTTAATCAGGATGGCTACATTAAGAAAATGATATCTGTTTTGGATGATAAGGAGAAATGTATTAGATTTGAGCCAGTGGAGTCATCAACTGTCAATAGGAATATCATCTCAAGTTACTGAGAGATAATCTGCTTCCAGCTGATATTAATAAAATCATCATGCTGCTGAGTTTGTTGCAAGCACATCTATGCCGGTTATGTAAAACCTATAAAGGTAAATATTCCAGTCTGATCCATCTTGTCAATGACTGGATCAGTCCAGCATAAAGTCGTGAAATGACTGGTGGAGTTATTACAACCGATCCATGACATGTATCAAATATATTGTATTAAAGACTCATTTACTTTTGTAAATTCCATTACAAATTGCCCTTTCTCTTCCCAAGATAAGTTCATGTGTTTGGTTGACATCAGCAATTTATTGAGTTCTGTTTCTCTTCAGGAAACTATAGATAGATGTGCTGAAGCTTTGTATCATAGTCATCTCCCCCTTTCTTCCACCAACTATATTTTGGAAACTGTTTCCAGTGAGCTAATTAAGTTTACTACCATGACCATGGAGTTTAGCTTCAATAATATAATGCATAGACAAATTGGGGTGGGGGATAACTATGGACCCACTATGCCAAATATTTTTTTCTATTGTGAACCAACCCAACTGTAATGGACAATATGTAGATGACACCTTTGGATAAGTTGGAGGCAGAAGTTTTCATAGAATATTGAAGCGCATGCATCCTTTTCTGAAGTTTACTATTGTACAGGAAAGCAAATATTCCCTATCTTTTTTGGATGTTTTCATACAAAGACTTAATTCAAAGTTTATTGCATCGGTGTACCCTAAGTCCACTTTCTCAGGTTTATGTACTTGAGGAGACTCCTCCTGTCCCAGAAAGGATCGGATCAAAACATTAGTCTATTGGACCCTAATGATCTGTTCTCTTAATAAGTTAGAACTTCATCTACAGATAAAATGTTTTGTTGGTCATTTTGCTATAAAATGTATTGTTGGCAATTTTTGCTATAAATAGATATCGTTGGTAATATTTTTATATAAAAATGTATTTCTGGTATTTTTACTATAAAAAGATAGTTTTATACTTTCATAGTATTTGGTTTAGGGGTTCACTATTTGTCCATAGCTGGTTTTCTAAGAGGTGCTACCACCCCAGGTCAGGGTGGACCTGGGAACAGCAGCAGTTAAGAGGTGGTTCCACACTAATCTTCTGATCAGAGGCCTTGCTGCCAAATGTAATTTATCATCATTCCCAGGACTTGGCTAACATTGGAAAATGGTGTATTCAAGTGTAAATGTGATGATTGCACAATGTCATGGGCCTAAAAATTCTGGCCTTGAAAAATGTCCAGTTTATTTAAGACTATCCTGGATTGTTCAGACTAGTGTAAATCTCAGCTGGTATTCTGCAGTGTTTGTTTCTTGGCTGATATTGAAATCTGTTTACAAGACATCCTGCCTATTTTCAAAATAAGTTCTATTATTTATTCATTGGAATGTCAGTATAACACTGACTACATAGGCAGGACAACTCAACTGGAGAAAATAATTTCCCAGCATGTCTCTGCATTTATCAGGAGAGGTCAGCTGAGTGCTAATTTGCATAAGTCTGTTGCTTCCAGGTCTGCTATTGTGGAGCACCTGATAAAAGATCTTTCTGCATTAATGCAGGCATCCTTGGAAACATGATATTGCTAATTTTCAATGACCTTCCTAAAGACATCAGTTTTCAACTCAGTATCTATACTGATGACACAACCATTTATTCATGTCTTTGTAAGTCTTATCAGTCAAATTCACAGCTGATCTCAGAAATAATACACTTTCTGCTGTTAACTGGGGCAATGAATGGCTTGTTAATGTTAATGTCTCTGAAATTAAAACTACTCTCTCCTTATCATCTGAGAGAACCCTTTTTAACATCCATCCTTATGGCTAATGCTAACCTTCAGGAAAGTGACTCATTGTGCCTTCTTGGGCTAAATTTTTTGACTGACTTGAAGTGGAAAGATAATATTGAATCAATTTCTGTGTTTTCTGCTAGGTAATTTGTTTCACTTTGTCATGCTAGACAATTTTTCTCGCAAGAATCTATCTTACATACTTATAAGTTTACCATTCTTCCTTGCTTTGAATACTGCTGCCACATATGGTCTGATGATTCTGCTATATATTTAGAGATTCTTGATAAAATCCAAAGGAGAATCTGCAATGTTATTGGTCCTGAGCTGGTATCTCCCCTTCAATCACTTTGCCACCACCATAATGTAGCATCCTTTTGCTTTTTCTATAAATACTTTCATCATAACGCATCTGATGAACTTTCCACTATGGTAACTAGACTTCATAGATTTAAGTGTAGTACTAGATAGGTAGTATCATTTTACAAGCTTATAACACTTGGTATTCCCAAGCGACTAGAATTAGAACTTGGCATTCCATTTTCCAGTTCCAAGCCATTATCCATCTATACCAGCCACACATCCAAGCATACAGTATCTGGTATTCCCAAATGGTTACCAATTTAAGTACTGACCAGGCTTGACATTACTTAACTTTGATGATCATATGAAAATCAGTATTTTAACATGCTATGGCCATAAGGCCTATATCAAGAGATGTCATTTATTTGTTAAAAAAAAATCCTAAACATATTAAAATTTCCAATTTGCAATTAGCATTGGAAAATAAAAAATGCAAAAGGGCTTATTCTCTCCTTTAACTTTGCTGGTTTATTTTGAGGAAACGTTTCAATCAACTTACCTTCATCAAAGTATGCAAGGGATTTCTGCAAAGAAAATAGAACATTTTAGATTTCAGTTTCAGTTAATAATAAAACCTTCCTTGCAGTAACTCGAAGACACAAAACACATTCAAAGATAAAAAGAAGAAATAAAAACATGAAGTACAAAGGTTTAAAATATATTCTTCTTCAGGACATTTGTAGTTATGGCTCTCCATAACTTCCTATCCTCTGTAAATCTTGGCAATGCTTGTCTTTTTACTATGCCTCCAACTATTCTGCCAATCCCTTGCACAAGTTCTGTAGGTTGTTTACTGTTTCCCCCCTTGTCTTTAGCATTTCCTGTGAGTGTCAAAATCTCCAAGCCCTCTTTCTTCATTATCTGTCCCCATAAATTTCTTTCTGATTATATATATAATTATAATTATTTTCTTTTTAAAAATATGATTCCATTGCGATACAGATAATTTCCATGTTTCAAAACTGAAACTTAATTCATAAATTTAATTATAAAAATTAAACCTAAAATCTATATTCTCATTCCATTATCAAATGATGGATTTTAACCTTAATTTTTATAATTAAATTTATAAATTTAGTTTCAGTTAAAACACTGAAATTTTCAGTGTCGCTACGGAATCATATTTTTTTTCTGCTTCACTGTTTGTATCAAGCACTGTTTTTTTTAAATAAAAATAACTGCGAAGAACACTGGATTATAATTCTTATTGTTCTTTCTTATTATTTTAATATATGCATATATAATGTAATTATGTCCTTTTTGTTCCCATTTTAATGAAAACTTCCTTGGTGTTTACATGCTCTGCTTGTGGTATTCTAAGATTACTTATGTAGAATCCCAGTTTATGTTGTCTCACCTCACTTCTTCATCTGTTAGGAAACTATCCAGTATTCATTGTCATATAAGTGGACTGATATTACATTGTAGTTCAATATTCTTTTCTAATAAAATGTTTCCATTTCTTAATATTTTATTTGGCATTTGGAAAGCATCTTTCCCTATTCCAATGTAGCTTTTTTCATGTTCTGTTAAGACACTTTCTAAATATTTAAATCTCTGTTTCTTGCTTGATTTTGCTATCTTCAATTTAAAAGTCACATCTTGAGTGGCAACCACACTGCCTTCTGAAAACTCATCCCTTCTTCCCACTTTTCAACATGCAGTTTTCTTTTGGTTTCTGCTATTGAAACAGTGTCATCAGAATGTGTTATGTGGTTAACATTGTACACACTGATAATAAATCCTGGTAGGACTTCTAGCTCTCTGAGGTTTGCCTCACTGTAAAGGCTGAACAAATCTGGTAAGAAGATATATCCTTGTTTTATGGGAGTGCTTCTTGAGGAAAGGCTGTCTGAGTGGAACTTCCTCCTTACAATGAAGAGAATCTGGGGTGGTTTGACTGAGGATATAGCATGGCTGAACTGGTAGAACTAAATCATACAGCTCATCTATCACTTATACAAAAATAGGAAAGACATAGTAATTAATTATTACAACCTAAGTACGCTATATATATATATATATATATATTACACAAAATTCAAAATTACCTCATATGGTGAGGGATAGATCTATTTCAGCCAAAATGAAGCATGTTGGTCTTATTCAACCCCTGTGTATGGACTGTACTCATCTAAGAATTAGAGATTTAAAGTTTAACTTTGACAGCAGTTGAAAAATAGATACAGAACCTACCCATATCAACACCTCAGTCAGACGAAATGCCTGAGTCAGTGGTAAGGCGAGGTCAGAAAGTATCTGTTTTAAAGGGATGAAAGTCCCTAAATTCAACCTGGATATTAACCTTATGACCCTAGATTGGGGTTCTATAAAGAATGACATGTTGAATTGAGACTAAAAGAGGGCCAGAAAGGGAGTTTTATATATAAAAAATGATCCTACTTCAAAAAATACCAAATTCTACCTACAAATGTGATATATATTATCAAGATTAACAGTCAAACATATTTAGATAATTTATATTAAGAAAATATTTTTTTTTAAATTTATATTAAAGAATAAAAATTTAAATATAAAATAAATTATCAATTTCTAACTTAAAGTTAAAATATTAAGAGAACCAAACCATACCGATTAGCCTGAATAAAATTTAGAAAAAAAATGACAGAAGTCCCCTGACTAATGCAAATAAAAATAAAAAACCATTAACTCATTCTATAGTAAGTAAACGCATGTGAATCATAAACCAGATGAAAACACAATTAAAAACACAATTAAAAACACAATTCACGAACACAGATCACACAAATCTAAGATTCATCATATATTATAAATGTCTTATATATATATATATATATATATATATATATATATATTATAAATATCTTATGTATATATAGACAAAAATACAACAAAATAAGACAAAGGACTTTACTTTCAATTCTTCCTGTTCTTGTTTCTTTTTATTCATTTCACAAATACTCTTTTTATGTTCTTGCATCTAAAAGAAAAAAAAAATAATGCATTCATCTTAATTATCAAATTATTTTCATACAATATTAATATATATTTATAATAAAAATACAAAAAGTATTCAAACCTAAAGCAAGAAAATATTTCTTATAAAACATCCTGCAGACATACAATGATTTTTGAAAAACTAGTGATGTTTTTAAACTGACAATCAACCAGTGTTTTGATCATTAGTCTATTCATTTACTGAGTATTGCATGAATGTAGCTTTCTATCAAACTTATCAGTTTAAAAAAATACCTGTAATCAAAGACCTGCTGCACATCGATTTACCAACTGTTTATGAAAAATAACTGAGGCATTTCTTTTTGTAATGGTAATGTTGAAATTAACCATTTCCATAAAGGAAACATTTGGTATTCACTAAATGAATAGTTAGCATTACTGGTAATTAAAATTATAAAATCTTCCTCTTAAAAAAAGATTTCCAGGAAAATAGACTTCTCAAATCTAATGTTATCATTCTTTCTAGTATCAGTAGGAGTTTCCTTCTTAACCTTTTGTTTGAGGTTGAGTGGAAAGTCTACATCTTGATTATGTCATAATTTTCCCTTCTTGTTACATACACTATCCATTTTGCTTGGTTGATTTTGTTTAGCAGCATGTCAACTTCTATGGGTTATTTAATACCAAAACAAAAATATGGTTTTATGGCTTCAACTACATAAGATTGTACTTTTATACTTTCATCATGTTTAGGAGTTTACACAGCTGGGGCTATAACAGGTGCTGCCACACTGAATCAGGGTTGTAGTGGGTATAAACACTTTTGATGAAAATTTATAAGCTCCTGGCACATTTGATCTACTAACAATTTTGGTGGACTCCAAAGGTAAAATAAGACATAGAATTTGAACAAAGAAATATTAACAAATATATTGACAGGATATTTTATAAAAGAAAATGTGAGGAATAAAATGAAATGTGAAAAGTTCAAATCAACCTTAAGTGTCTGTAGTTGATTAGCAAAAAGAATACATCTTCATGCTATGAAAAGTCACAGAGAAAAAGATTCTTTCAAATCTTGTGCCACCTGTAATTATTGTCAGGGGAGTGGTAATTCCAAAATTTTGCCACCTGTGATTATCATCAGGGGGCAGCAATCTCATATTAAGAAAAAAATAAGATGTATCTGTCTCTATATATGAGGTATTTTAACTATTTACAATATTTACTTTGTTCGAACTGTTGCCATATTCACATTGTCATCTTTATTGCCATATTCATGACATTTGGCCATTGTATGCTTCTTCAGTTCTACTTCCACTTGAGATACTTTTTTTTTAGATATCTCAGTTTCAGGTATTTCCCTTTAGCAACTCATTGCTCTAAGGTTTTGTTCACCTCTGCTGTGGCCAGATATTGAACTCATAAGTCTCTGGGTCTAGTCAAGAGATTATTTCAACCTACACTTTTATCTTGGGGGACATCAGTGAATTAATTTTTTATTTTGGGACTTATAAACCTAATGTCTAAGTAAACATTTTTAACCAGAGCGCATATTATAATTTGTTATTATTGTTATTTTATTCAAAATTTAAAAAATAATCAGTTTGTGAAACCTAGGGTCATAAACTCACATCAATCCAACTAATTATGTTAGCTCTATCACTGATATTGAGTGCTTTCCAATAAGTACCATATATATATATATATATATATATATATATATATATATATATATATATATATATATATATACATACATACACACACATATATGTGGTAGAACGCTAAAACACAAGAACACCAAAACATAACCACCAACAGCCACCACACGCACAAACACAACCACCACTATAGCAATTACCAAAGACCGATAAAACTATCAGCACTGTTACCTACACTACCACCACTCCAATCACCTAATAACCATCTCCACTACCATCAGTACTGCTTTTTAACACTGTCATTGTTTTTATTATTGTTATTATCAGTATCATCATTATCATGTTTACCACAACTATTATCATAATTACAATTGGCATTTTTGCCCCTTTTTTCATTATATTTTTGTTTCCATTATCATTAAGGTTAAATCTACCATTAAAACATCAATAACTATTAGTAACATATTAATAATAATTAATGCAACAGTTATTATCATTCTCAGCATAATCACAATTATCAGTTAACATTGAAAATACAAATATCATCATCATCACCATACCCACAAACTGAACCCAGCTTAAACCAAGTGGTGGTGGAAGTCCAAGACCAATAGGAGTGTATGTGCATGTCTTCATGTGTGTATAAGCAAGTGTACGTTTCTCTGATAGTGCAGGTAGTAGAGCCAAAAAGCATCATGAAAGCCCCTACCCACTCCTTGTTGAAAGGAACATCACTACATATATAAAAGCTACAGTCTCAACACCAAAATAGAATTACAAGTGCATATGTATGTATGCTCAAATGCATGGGTTTGTATCTGTACCTAACCTCAGACTGTTTATATGGATGTGTTTGTGTGAACTAAAATGTGTACGCTTGTATGTATGTGTGTCCATGTGTATGAGA